CTGACTCCCAGTTCTCACGATACAGCCCCAGGGCCCAGTCCCAGATGGATTTTGTGTTTCTAGCCTCCACAAACTGTGTTCCAACTAAACTGGTCTACTTGACATCCTTATATTCACTGTCCCATCTCTGGCCTCCACACCTTTGCAAAGGTTGTCCCCCAAAAGAGGAAGTTCTTGCCACCCAAGTTCTGTCAAAGGCGTTAACATCAGAAATTGGGATCCTGCCGGTTTCTGGGATTTTAAGATTTAGAGCTGGAAAGGACTTGAGGGAGCATTCAGTCCAAACCCCTCATTTTACATAGGAAGAAACCGAGGCCCAGAGAGGCTACTCAGCAAGAGTCACAGCAGGGTCTGTGTTCAGGTCCTGCCTCCAAACCTGGTGTCTTTCAGCTGTGCTGCCTTGGCTGCGTGGCGCCCAGGGGCACACGGCGGCTATCCATCACTTGCTCTCACTGCACGCGTGACCCAGCTCCCTTCTCAGGGGGATCCCTCTCTGTCAGTATCTTTGGTGCCATGTTTCCCAAGGAGTTCCTCCTTGAAGCCCACTCATTGTATCCCATTGGTGTCACTCATCACACTTCTGCCTTTATTATGTATGTGTTTTGGGTAAACTGAGGTAACCCTTTCTCCCATCTCCATGCTCCAAGGCCCTTTAAATGGGAGACTCCACAAGTCTCCGCCCTACACACCAACATCATCAGATGCTGGTCCTACCTTCTACAGGAGGCCTTTCCCAATCCCTTTTTATTCTGATGCCTTCCCTCTGGTGACTATCTCCAATTTATCCGGTATAGAATCTTGATTGAACATATTTGTTCACATGTTGTCTCCCTGGTCAGGTTATAAACTCCTCAGGGACGGGGATTGTTTTTTGTCTTTTTGTATCCCCAGTGCCTGGCACATATTAGGTGCTTAATAAATGCTCATTGACTCACTGAGAGGTTAAGTGACTTGCCCAGAGCCACACAACTAGTAAGTATCTGCGGCTGGATTTGAACTCAGGTCTTTCTGACTCTTGGCCCAGAGCTCTCTCTACCCACTGTGCCACATTATGTACCAGAGGCATCTTCCTTCTCCCAGGCCAGCTTTCTGCTGCTTGGCTCAACCCCTATCAGATTATTACTTGTTTTAGAAAGAAGAACTCAGCATTGTTCCAAGCCCACAGAACTGGTCCATCTGAATATGTCATGGACAGACAGACTGCACTTGGATGGTGAGATGGAAGATTAGAAGAATACAGCAAGTCGGCTTGGACAGTAGCTGAAAGAGAAGGGTCTCTGAGTGTTCGTGGGGGTCCTTGGCAGGCAAGAGTCCTCCTCTCAGAGGCCCTAGTAACCAGGTAGGGCTCTGGATGGCCAACTTCTCTCTGCTGCAGTCTGGCCCATTTGGCCCTTCATACTTTTCTTCCTAGGTAAAGGGGAATGAACATCTTGCAAAGGGACCGACTCCAGTGGCGTTGCAAGGTGGAGTGAGTAGAACCCTGCATTTGGGGTCAGAAGGCGCGGGGAGGCCCTTTGCTATGCTGGTTGCCTTCCTTTGAACACTCCAATTTATCAACATCCTCCCTAAAATATGGCCCCCAGACCTGAGCCTGACTCAGTGTGGTCTGACCATGGCAGAGCTGTGAGACAATGACCTCTAGTCCTGACACAGATGTCTCTCCTAACAGGGCCCATGGTCACTAGTGATTATTTTCAGTCATGTCTGACTCTTGGTGACCCCATTTGGGGTTTTCTTGGCAAAGATACAGAAGGGGTTCCATTTCCTTCTCCAGCTCATTTGACAGATGAGGAAACTGAGGCAAACAGGGTGAAGTGGCTTGCCCAGGGTCACCCAGCTAGTAAGTGTCTGAGGCTGGATTTGAACTTAGGAAGATGAGTCTTCCTGATTCCAGGCTAAGTGTTCTACCCACTGAGCTTATGGTCCACTAAAACCTTCATATCTTTTTCAAACTGCTGTCCACTCTTCCTCATCTTTTGACTTGTGAAGTTGATTTCTGAGTCCAAGCTAAGACGATCATATTTATCCTTATTGAATGTCATCTTTTTAAATTAGACCTAGCATTTTCACTGGTCAGGATCTGTTTGGACCCTGTGCCCCAGGGTGAGCTCTCCTTCCTGGATTTGGATCATCTGCGCCTTTGAGAAGCCTGCTGTCTTGGCCTCTACCAAGACAGTGTTGACAATGGCTTGCCATCCCTCCCGTGATCCTCCTTCTGTTGACAAGAAGTCCATTCAAAAAGAAAGTCATTTCCCAGGGCAGGTCAAATAAGACCCTAGTAAAAATCACAGGGCAGCTAGGGGGCGCCACAGCGCACAGAGAGCCAGGCCTGGAGCCAGGAAGACCGCTTCCCCAGTTCAAATCCAGCCTCAGACATTTACTAATAAGCCTGGGCAAGTCACTTAACTGTTTGCCTCAGTTTCCTCATCTGTCAAATGAGCTGGAGAAGGAGATGGAACCACTCCAGTATCTTTGCCAAGAAAATCCCAAATGGGGTTATGGAGAGTCAGATATGACTGAACAACAAAAAAACAACCACAACTCAGCCTCCACCCAGGTACAGGCCAGGCGCCTGCTAAGAGCTGGGCAGCCCTGATTGGTCTGGTCTATGTCAGAGAAGGTAGGAAGAGAGAAGGCAGACCAGAAATAGTGGCCGTGGGCAACACCACTGCCACGCACATTCTCTGTGGTCCTCTCCCCAAAATAGGGAAATGATCCTCTATGGACCGTCCACGCTCAGAGGGTCTCAGGTATTCTTAGCTGGAGGAGGGGAGGGGTGTGTATGTGTAGGGGGCAGAGGGCACAACTGATAACGGAGGGGCGGTGAGGAGGATCTAAGTCCATGATGTCAAGGGAGTGAAAAGTGCAAAGGGGTATTCATTCTTCCTCTTCCCATTTCGGGAATCCTGTCCCATCTGCAGATTTTTTTAAGTAAGCCGGGAGGGTCCTTCAAACATAAAAAATGTCTGAGACTTGGAGGGACCTGGGAACAGAAAACCTGGCACATCAGGTCTGGCTAGTTTACCTCTCCATCCCAAGGGCCTTCAGGCACTCAGAGACTCAGTGGCCTTTCCAGAGTGGGGACCCCACCGGAATGACCCATCTGCTGCAAGGGCACTCCCTCCTGGCACTTTGCCTGCTCAGTACAAACGGTGTCCAAATCTACACGGAGAAAACGTGGACACAGTGGCTCTGGCCAAGGAGTGGGTGAATGTGGCCATCCGGGCCCGCCTCCAGGCAGCCAGGCCTGACTGCCTAACCTCTAAGCCAGGGAGGCACCACTCCAGGGTGGTTGAGGTCAGTGCAATGATTGTTGGGAAATGGATCTGGATTTGAATCCCATGACCCCGGGCCAGTCCCCCCCTCTCTTTGGGCCTGTCTCCTTCTCTGTCAAAGGAGGGGGCTGGACGGGAAGGCCTCAGGTGCCCTTTAGTTTGAGCGCTAGGATCCTCGAAGGAAGCAGGCATTGGGCATTAGGACAACACACCTTTGGGTAGACTTGACTTCTTTTTAAAGGCCTCCTGGCCTTACTTTCCAGTCGCTTGTAAACAGGCTTTTGGCAGGTAAAGCATCACCCAGATTCATGTATTGCCCACAAAAAAATGGTGGAATTGAAGTGCACACAAGATGTGGTGTAACAGCTGTGTGACCGAGGAGGTGGTGGCTAGGGGGTGAGAACCGATGCTGGGTCCCCACAAAATGTGAAGGCTCTGGTTGGGTAGGGCCTCTGTGGAGGTCTTATGGGACACCACGCAAGGATAAGTGTATCTTGGCCTCCAAAGAATTCCTGCCACTGGCCTTACTTTCCAGTCACTTGTAAGTCAAGTGACAAATTAGTACGGAACTAAGTCTACTTGTAAACAGGCTTTTGGCAGGTAAAGCATCACCCAGATTCATGTATTGCCCACAAAAAAATGGTGGAATTGAAGTGCACACAAGATGTGGTGTAACAGCTGTTCCTGCCATTGGGTCAGCTTGCAGGTAGGTTATGCCTAAGACCAGCTTCGGTAGGGTTCCTTCGTTAGGGCAGGGAGCCTCCTCTCAACCCAAGCCTTCTCTCACCCCACATCCTCTCATCTCCAGGGCTGCCCTTGTCTGCAAGGCCTGGGGCTCCTGAGGAAAGCCAGAATCCGCTGTTGTCCTGGCAGCCGCCATCCACTCGAGGACTAGCGGGCACAGAAGGGGATGGCGGCTGTTATCGGGGCTCAGCAGGATCCACAGAGGAACCGGCGGCCCAGCTGGAGGGAACAGGCGCTGCGTGACGAGGGGGACAGGAAACAGAGGGAAGCTGTTAACAGTGAAGGAAACCACCCAAAGAGAGGATGAGGCTTTGGGGAAGCCTGCCTGCTTCAAGGTCAACACAAGGGGTCACAAGGCAAAGGATGCTGGGAGGGACTTTGAGCCCAAGGAGCCCAGAGAGGGCTACTGGCTTGCCCACGGAGGTCCAGATCCACGAGTTCTGAGTTCAAATCTAGGGTCTTTTGCACTGTATCCCACCTCCCAGGCTGCACTCTGCATCTGACCCGTGTCTCATTACTCATTTCCTATATTCAGGAGACGTTTATTAAATGCCTGCTGCATTCAAGGCCCTATGTATGCTAGGGAGGAAATCAAGAGAAATAAGACATGCTCCCCGCTCTCCCAGAGCTTGGTTCCGCACTGATTTGCTCATAGAGCCGATGCAGAGAGTTGAGAGGCAGGCAGAGCTGGGGAGGTTAGGTGACAGTCTGGTTCGTCACTGGAAAAGCTGGCCGGGAGTCCTCATTCTGCCACGTACTTCTGGCAAGTCCTGTAAACCCGAGCCTCACTTTCCTCATTTGTAAAATGAGGGAGCTAAGCTAGACGACTTCTAGATCCTTTGACTAGAAATGGCATACAGGCCTTTGCCTGTATCTTCTACCCGTTTGGCCAGCTCCATAGTATCTGGTTATTAAAGCCAAGCTGGTTAGTGTCAAAGCAGACCCGAGATGGGGAGAAAGGGAAGGAGGTTGAGGCCGAAGGGGCTGTCACCAATCCAGCATGGTTTATTGCAATCACAGCTCACCATAAGTCAGGAGAGGGGGCACAGGGAAGGGGCTGGCACTACACCCATATTGCCTGCAAGGTCCTCCCCAGGGGGTAAGCTGAGTCTAGAGTGTGGGTATCCCCCCACCCCCGCCCAGAGCTGGGTGGATTCCCGCAATCCTTTCTGGAGCCTTCTCTGTCCTGCAAGTCACGCAAGAATATATCTCCTGCTCATCCTTGCCCTGGCTGAGGGAAGGAAGAACGAGGTGGTCCCCTCCGCCTCCGACTATGAAAAGTCTGCCAGCTGGGGTATCTGAGAACAGAGCTGAGGCAGTCTCAGCGAGAACGGGGTGCTTTCCTGGCACCCCTTTGTCCCAAGGAGTGCAAAGAGCTTTTCTGCGGTCTCCCTCAAAACTTCTTTCTTCCCATGGGACAAAATGGGGGGAGCTGAGGTATAAGAGTGAGAAATGATCTGCTCTACAATCACAGAAGTGAAGGCCTGGGTGTGTAATGAATGCAGGCATCCTTGGCCATATCTGAGCTCACTCCAAGTCTGATGCCACCACGCCGTCCTGTCCCCCCCAGGGGAGTTTATGTGGGGATCTCCACTCTGTCCAGGTCTTGGTGCTGGTCCATGATCTGGAGCACGTCGTCCAGTATGGAAGGCCCCAGGTCCACGTGGAGGGAAAGGAGGGAGCTGGCTTGGGACAGGAATGGTTCCTCGCCTTGCTCAGGCATGAAGCCGTTCTGGGGAGAATCAGTCTCCGGAGTCCTCCAGATCTCCAAGCCCTCGTTCTCCTGGGGGGTCGGCAGTGATGTCTCCAGGTGCAGGCGGGGTGGCTTGGGCGGGGCTTGAGCTGAAGGCAGGGTGAGGGCCTGGGGCCCACCAATGACTGGGAGGGAGATGGCATTCTTGAGGAGAGGGGAATGCCCATCAGAGAGCCCCCGGGGCTCCCGCCCGCAGACCGTGGTCGTCCGGGCAAACGGGAAAGGGATGTTGAAGGTGCCGTCTTCCTCCTCCTCAGGCCCCTCACCCACTGTGCCAGGTAGCAGGTGGAACTTGCCCTGTAGGAAGGAGATGTCGCCAAACATGTCGCCCTCGCCACCGTTGCCGATGTGGATGGTGTGACGGAAGTCGCCCAGGGGTGGGCTAATCATGTCTGACGACAGCAGGTCCCGCAGTTTCTCTTTCTTCCCTCTGCGGTTGCCCCGCTTCAGGTAGATGGGTACCTTGGTGGACATATCACTGCACCATCCACAAAGGGCTCAGCAGAGCAAGGACTGGCTCCCACGTCCGGCTAGATTTCTGCTGGAGAGTGGATGTCCTCAAGCCTCCCCACCCCTTGTACATCCACCAACGGGAGCTGGACCTTTCAAAGTCGGCAAGCGCTAACCCGAACCAGAGTTGATGGAGAAGTCAGCAAGTTGAGGAAAAGTTAGAAATTGCGGGGGGTGGGGTGGGGCAGAGCAGCGGCCGGTGTCCTTCCAGGCTGGCGTGAGGAGGCGGTTCTCTGCCTGGCTCCCTCAGTGGATTCTCCAGGATCCACACGCCTGGAAGTTGCCACCCTCTGAAAGAGAAGAACAAGTGAGTGTGGGCCGCAGTGGGGAGCTGTCTTGTCCTGGACCCCACGAAAAGCCACCCTTCTGCTCATTCCACTGAGAGTGAGTGCCTCTGGTCTTCCAGCAGCCAACGGGAGGGACCTCAGATCCTAGAACACGGAAATATCAGAATCAGAAGGAAGACAACTTAGAACGTCAGGGTGGAAGGAACTAGGAACAATCCAGACAACTTGAGGGAGTGTAGAGCCTGTTGGAGGCAAACTTTATGGATTTAGCATCACCCCTTCATTGTAGAGGAGGAAATCGAGGCCCGCAGAGAAGGGACTTGTTTGAGATAACCCAGCAAGCCTGTGGCAGAGGCTGACCGGTAGCCAGGCCTCTTGACTCCCAGCTCCTCCTCATCCAGGCCACGCTCCTTCCACCACACGCTATCTCCTCTGCCCTGCGTGTAAGCCATGCACGACGGCACTTTTGGATGGCCTAGAGTTTTGTCTGCCCACCTAGGCCCCCCAGGGGGAGCCCACCCAGGCCCCCGGCACCTTGCTCCCCAAAGCCCTCATTAGCATGGGATCCCACGAAAGATCAGATATGCTTATTGGTAAGGTGCACATGACCGAGCAGACTTAACCCGTGGGGACTGCTTGTGGAACAGTGGAAACTATAGGGGAGACCTAGCCAGAGGGGCCAGGTCCTGCCCCCACAGCTGTCAGGCCAGGAAACCTCCAGCGGCCCTGAAATCCTGGCACGGAGCCGGGGCCCACTCTTCCTGTTGGTGAGGAGCCTTCCTCCCTTCTGCTCCCTTCAGCAGCCTGGTCTGTAAGGTTCACCCCAAGTCTGCACTGTGCCACCCCCAGCCCCTTTAGCTCTAGGGCTCAGGTCTTAGGATCTCTCCCCCTCACCCCCCCATCTGAAGAGGCAGAGGCAGGTGGCTACCTCCTGTCTTTCAGCTGACAGGTTATCAGACTGTTCCCAGAGATCCAGCGTTTCCACAACAAACTAAGTCCATGGGTGGGCAGAACCGCTTGGCAGATGGATGCCTCATTCTGGGCCAGATGTGTCCACGTATTTCCAGATGTGGGGCTGAACAGGGAAAGAGTGGGGTGGGGAGGTGCTGTTGACCAGTTCCTCCCAGTTGTCCTGTGGGTGTAAACCCCCAGGCAGGCCTCTGTCACCTGGATCACACCTGATGAGGGCAGGAGGCCTGTGGAAGCCAGGCCACCTGGCCACCAGGCTCTGGGGGAGGACCAGGTGGTGGTGAGGAAGGAGCCCTGGATGTGGAGACAGAGGAGCTGGGCCCCCTCCCTTACTCTGAGTGACCCTGGGAAGCCTCTTTGCCTTTGGGGGCTTTCCTAGGGGGTTAGACCAGCTATCCCCTCAAGCCCCAAGTTGGGCCTGTTTCTACCCCATTCTTGCCTGTTACCCCAAAGCTTTATGAATGAAAGTTTAACATTAACCTGCCCTCCTTACAACAGAACAATTTCTGGTGGGAAAAGTGTGCTGAGCTGGAGATCTGAGGCAAACTTCAGGCTCTGCCCAACTCATGACCTGAGAGGCCTAGGAGAAGCCGGTCTAAAGCTCCCTGATCTCAGCTTGCTGTTCTATCAAACTGGACTCATGGCTAAGGTTCCTTCCGACTCTGGCCCTGGGAGCTTATGAAGATGACCCCCATTGGGGCATTACAGTATGATTGGATGAATCCAACTCCCTCAAGTTAGGGAGGAGGGGAGGAAACAGGCTCAGTAACCCAGCACCAAACCGCCTTCCCATGAATTCTCTCTCTGTCTCTCTGTCTCACACGCACAGAGACACACACACACACAGAGACACACACACACAGACACACACACACACACACACACAGACACAGACACACACACACACACACACACACACACACACACACACACACACACACACACACGTCTTAACTCCTAAAGTCTTCTCTTCAGGATCCAGGGATTTTTCGGGATGAGAATTTACCCGGAGCGGCTAACTTAGGGTGGCCACTAGATGGCGCCACGCGCCCCCCCTTAACGGAGAGCCCTGGGAATGGGGCGAGAATTCTGGAGTCCCGGTCCTTGTGGGGTTCCACCCGTGGGCGGGAGGGGGGAATGGAGGCCAGGGGTGTCATGGAGAAGAGATTGCCTGGCGCGGGGGCTGCGAGTTCGAGCCTGCCTTCCGTTTGCCTGTGCCTTTTTTTTTTTTTTTTTTTTTTGAATGGAGAGGGGGGCTATGAGACCCCCACTGCAGGGGCCAGACCCCGGCACTTCACCAGCTGCGCCTCGGCAGAGGAGGAACGCCCTTGCCACCTGAGCTTCCCGGAGGGTTCGGGGGTCCAGTACGAAGGACGATGAAGGCGCCCCAACTTGAGGCTTCCTCCTGAGACGGCAGCACCAAGGACCGTCTATTCCTCTCTGTTGGACGCCCTCCCGGCCCCCCAGCAGGGCGCTGCCAGCCCAGCCCAGCCCAGCCCAGCCCAGCCCAGCCCTGCCCGGCCCAGCCCGGCCCAGCCCAGGCGGGATCTGTTTCAGGGCACGGCTAAAGATAGGCGCACACCTCAGCCCTTTGCTAAAAATACGGGGCGCGCTCCCCCTCCGTCTGGGGCCGGACAGAGAGCGGTGAGGGAGGGGCTGCCTCAGCCCAGGCCGGGGCCGGGCACCCGGGCTGAGGGCGGAGGGGCCGCGGGAGCGTGCGCTTAGCGGGAGGGCTGCCCGGAGGCTGGGAGGGAGCCTTGGAGATCCCCAAGGGGAGAAGGGGCAAGACTGCCCGGGAGGGACGGGGGAGGCTCCGGGAAGGACAGTGAGGGGAGCCCTGAAGTGCAGGAGGAGGGACGGAAAACGCTGAAGGAGGCGGGAGGATCTTGGGGGGGGGGTCCTTCGGCGTTTTCCGTCCCCTCCCGCCGTGATTTGGGCCGGGCCGGGACCCCCTCCAGCCAGGGAAATTCCGTAGCCAGGCGTGGGGACCTCGCCGTGCCTCCCTGCCGGACACCGGCCCCGCTCGGTCCTCTCTCGCCCCAGGGACTTACGGTGAGGTGCTCGCAGCCCGGCCGGGTAGTCCTGGGCTAGGTCCGGATCGGCGTAGGACGGGCGGCGACCACCGCAGCGAAGAGCCTCGGCAGCTGGGACCGAGCTGTTCCCAGGCCCCGGGCCAGCAGCTCCGCCTCCGCGGGCCCCGCCCCAGGTCCCCGACGAGCCAATGGCCGCCCTGGCTCCGGCCCGAGCCGGCTCCGCCCCGCCCCTCCAGCTGCTGCTTCTGGCTGTCCTGGGCCCGGGCCGTAGAGGTGGGGTGGGGAGCCGGGGTGGGGTGAGGAGGGAGGGAAAGGAGCGAGTGGGGAGGAAGGAGTGTGAGGAGGAAGTGGGAGGCCCCGGGGGATCTACCCTAGCTGGTGTCCAGCCCGGGGCTCTGCCTTGAAGGATGCCTGGGGGAGCTCCGACCCCTTTTGCTCTTCGGTCGGTCGGTCAGTCAGTCAGTCAGTCAGTCAGTCAGTCAGTCACTCCCAAAGGAATCTTGCTCCCAAACACCTAGTCAGTGCCCTCAGGGTGTCAGGCTAGGGGCTTGGGGCACAAGTAATCCTTGCCCTCAGTGAGTTTATATTCCGACCCGGGGAGGCCCAGGAAGGGCTAGGTTGGAGGAATAGGTCCCAGACCTCACGTCCCTAGTCTATGCAGGCCCACCCCGCCCCTCCGAGGCCACTTGGACGCTCAGGCCGTTAATTACTTGGAGAAGTGGGGCCCAGAAGGTCAAAGCTATTTTGCTAATAACTGCTGAAAGGTTTACGTTCTAATACAAGTTTTGCTACCTGTGACCCACATATATGTTCTTGAATTATTGAGGGGAGTTCTCAGTTTTTAAGAGTGTGAATGGGATCCTGAGACCAAACATTCTGAGAACGCCAGAGTTCTGACTAATAGTGATGCGTAAGGGACTTGCCCAGAGTCACACAGCGGAGCCAGTGTGAATCAGATGCAGAACCTGAACCCACGTCTTCCTGGTTTTGTCCACACTGGCTCTCGGTCCACTAGCCATGTGGCCTACTGTCTATACATAAATACGCATGTTGCATGTACATAAATAGATACAAAATGTACAGTCAAAACGGTACGACAAGATTCTTTCGGGGAAGGTTGTTGCAGCCCCGCCGCCATCCATTCAGGTCATCCCAACTACTGATCTGCATCTCACTACCTGAACCAAGTCTGAACTCCAAGACCTGGGGCCCCACTTCCTGGGGAAGTTAATCCACACGCTTCTGCAGCTGCAGCCCAAGAACCTATCTGAGTTAATTCCTTACGGAGAATCTAGTAACTAGTCCTTTTAACCCACTTCTGGCTGGTCTCAGACAGCAGACCATGTGACAACTTTCCGTAGCATCCAACCGTTAGGGAAAGTCATCTTCTCCTCCTTTTCCCTCTGCCCCACCCCTTCCCTAAATGAGCTATTTGTAAAGCATTTAACACGTGCCAGACACATAGTAGGTGTCAAACGCTTATCCCTTCCCCTTCCCTAATCACCTCACTCCCAAGTATCTTAGCTTTCCTCGTGGAATGGAAGCTCCTTGGGGACAGGCAATGTTTCTTTTCTAAACTTTGTATCCCGAGCACGTAATCCAGTGCCTAATACACAGGAAGCAGCTGATAAAGGTTTCTTCCATTCCTTCTTGCAGAAGGTGACATTTAATTTGAGCTTTGAAAGAAAATAGCACCTATGTATTATGGTCCTTAGTTTTAGCCTGTGAAATGGGTGAGCATAATTATCTCCATTTTACAGATAAGGAGACTGAGGTGTAGAGACTGAAAGCTATTAGAGCATGTCAAAGTTTGGCCAGGGGACCTGGGAGGCTGGGTCAAAGAAAGGAGGGGAATTTTGGGGTCCCTGGATCTGGCTTAAGGGGAAATAGGATTCTTTTGCCCAGGGCCCTACTTGAAAGTGATTGTTATTAATTGACTTTTGTACACATGGCATTCTGAAATTCTGTGAGTCTAAGGATTGAATGTATCTTTTCTGGGGGAGTCAAGATAAAACCTCTTTTAAATCAGGTAAATATGTGACAATTCATGTTGACATAAAGCCTAAATTAGGGGCAGCTAGAAGGAACAGTGGGTAGAGTGCCAGCCCTGGAGTCAGGAGGACCTGAGTTCAATTTTGACCTCAGACATTGACTAGCTGTATGACCCTGGGCAAGTTACTTAACCCTAATTGCCTCCAAAAACAAACAAACAAACAAACAAACAAACAAAAAACACATCAAAGACCAAGCAAAAATTAGAAGCTAATTATTAGTTTCACATAAGTAAGGAGAAGGGCAAAAGTCTTTCCTTTTTCTTCCTTAGGGAGTTCCTTTTAGGTGAAAAGCTTTAAGTTCAATCACAATTGCTCCAAGCCTCCAGTTAGGAAAATTCCCAATATCTAGCAGAGGTTAAGCTTTCTACCCAACCATGCCTTTGTTTTTCTCCCCTTTGGGGTTGAAGCAAAATTCAATTTATTGGAAACATTTTGGTAACCGAACAGTGGACAGCAGCTTATATTATATTATCTATGACTAGACCAGCATCTAAAGAGGAACTGGGAGCTTCCCTGGGCCCGTGCCCTCTTCTCCCAAGATGGCAGTAAAACCACTGCCATTCCTTCATATCTCCCCTCTTCTCAGAACTCAGTCGTCTCTTTGCTTCCTTGCTCGTTCTCCAATTCAGACACTCAGAGTCTCATTCCATCCCTCCCCATCCTCCACCCTCATCAACACACAAATTTGGGATATGCTGACATAAAAGCTCTCCCTTTCACACAAATGCTTAGGGTGGAATCCAGCCTCTCCCATAAAAATTTTGATTGATTCAAGGAAGTATGCGGATCCTCTTATTCAGTTCTGATGTTCGGATTTAGTCAAAAAGTGTCCTTCTCCAGTCAGAGCTCCAGATTTTGCATCTGAATGGTATACCACTGCATCCTCACACAACTTCATGGTCTTTTTTTTGGGGGGGGGGAGTGGGGAGGTGGAAGAGAAAGAGAACCTAGAGATAGGGTTGACTCCTTCCCCCTCCAAAATGAGAGGAAAACAGAAGGCCAGAAGCAATCATGGACGGGCAGGAGAGCTTTGAAAATTACAGGTTGAATTTATTATACACTTAAAAAAGAAAAGCAAACTCTACGTAACAGATTTGGAGTATATTGTATGAGCTTCTCCTGTTGTACAGTGTATATGAAAACACTTATTTTCACTTGGTGTTTACTAAGTCCAGAATTTTTTTTTTAAATGAAGTGGAAAAAAAACCCCACCTTACTTTGTAATTTTTAATTTGCCATATTTCTATATATAGTCTGTATATAGTCAAGTAAAAAAACATGTATTAAGTGCCTACTGTGTGCCAGACGTTGTGTAAAACCAGTCACTGCCTTCAAGGAGTTCAAAGTCTAGTGGGGGAGACAACATGCAAACATATGGAGAATAATAAATGTATGCGTTTCTCTACACCCGTGTTGCTTCCTCCATTCCTTCCATTGTAAGCTCTTTGAGGCCAGAGACTGATCGTTTCAGTGTTTGCTTTCCCCATTGCAGAGCACAATGCCTGGTTGATGATTGATGGATTCCGTCCACTGGGAGAACTCAGGTGCTGGAACCTTCCTCCTGGGAGTTTGTTCCGTAACTCTGTTGTAGCAGTCCTAGAGAGTTGCCTAAGGACACCGAAGAGTGAAGTGACTTGTCCCAGGTCACACATCAGAATTTGAACTCAGGTCTTCCGGACTCCCAGGCTAGCTCTATCCTGAGTTCAAATCTGCCTCACTTGCTAGCTGTGGCCAAGATACTTAAACCTCTGTTTGCCTCAGTTTCCTCATCCGTAAAAATGGGGATGAAAATAGCATCTACCTCCCAGGAACTGTTGTGAGGCTGAGGTGAAATATTTGTAAAGGTAAACCATACATGCCTTGTATAAATGCTAGTTATTATTGTTATTATCATCATTAGCTACAATGGGATGCTGTCCTTTCTATAACTAGTGTAATCCATTTTCTTTGTTCCCCTCCCCTTTTGGAACATTTTAAATTTATTTTTCACTCTTTCATATCTTTTGCTTTTAACATCGCCTTTTTTTCCTAAATAAATCTCTACCCACCACCTGGCCAGAGAACTATCCCTTGTAACAAAAAATATAAAAGGGAAACCAAAAATCAGTTCAGCTAGGTAGTGTTCCATATCTGTAGTTCTGTTTACTCAAGTAAACAAGGGAGGGATCTCTCACTAAGGCTAATCTTGGTTCTTATTTTGACACAGCAGTTATTTCCTTGTACATTGTTGCAATCATTATGTATATTGTTTTCTTGTCCACCTACTTCACTTTGCCTCAGTTTATATGTCATTCCTTGATGCTCTGAATTCTTTGTTGTTGTTTTTGTTTTTGTTTTTTTTTAATTTTTTTTTTTAGGCAATTGGGATTAAGTGACTTGCCTGGGGTCACACAGCTAGTAAGTGTTACATGTTGTTGTTGTTTTTTAAGGTACATACTGTTCCATTACATACTAGAATCCACAGCATCAAGGTCAGCTACTGCATTTGATGGCAAATTCTTCAACTTGAAAAGGCTACAAGCCAAGACCAAAGTGGAGGGAGAGATGGTGCATGACTTTTTGTTAGCAGATGATCGCATATTCAATATAGCCTCTGAAGCTGAGATGCAACAAAGTATGGATCAGTTCTCCTATGCTTGTGCTAATTTTGGCCTGACAACTAACACCAAGAAAACGCAGGTGCACTGTCAGCCAGCACTGTACCATCCGTACATGGAATCATTGGTAACAGCAAATGGAGACATTTTGAGTACTGTGGATAAGTTCACTTACCTTGGCACTCTACTTTCCAGGGATGGACACATATGAATTACCAGAGCTAGCTCCATGTTTGGGAGACTCTGAAGGAAAGTGTAGGAGAGAAGAGGTATTAGAATGCCTACCGAACTGAAGGTCTACAGAGCCGTTGTGCTGACCTCATTGTTGTATGCCTGTGAAATCTGGACATTATACCAGAGTAATGCCAGGAAACAGAATGACTTCTATTTGAATTGTCTTGGGAAGATTCTGGAAATCACCTGGCAGAATAGGATACTAGACACTGAGGTCCTTTCTTGAACTAAACTGCCA